CTTTCATATCAAAAATAAAGTTTTTCCCTTTAATATTCATATACTGTGGATTAAAGGATTAAATAATTTTCTTCTCTGGACTACGCTTTTCAAACAACCAATGAGTTTATGAGACGTGTCCGAATTCCGTGGATTCAGAACTCTTGAGGAATCCTGAATCCAACAATTAACATAATTGGAGTGATAGGACCAAAAAGAAACCAAGGAAATCAAGGAGTCCACGTAAGTTAAGGAACCAACGGAATTCAAAGAATTCAACGAGCCCAATGGAATCCAGGAAGTCAAAGAACTCAAGTAACCCAAAGAAATCACAGAATCCAAAGAACTCAAGCAACTCAAGGAAGTCAAAGAACCCAGGGAACTCAAGGAAGGCAAAGAATCCAAGAAACTCAACGAGCCTTAAGAACTCAAGGAACCCAAGCGAGTAAAGGATATCAAAGAATCCAAAGAATCCAACGAGCTTAACGAAGTCAAGGAATCCATGAAATCCAAGGAAGTCAAGAAAACCAAAGAAGTCAAGGAACCCAAGGAGGCCAAGGAACGCAAGAAAGTCAGAGAACCCAAAGAACTCAAGGAACTCAAGGAACCCAAGGAATCCATGGAATGCACAACATCAATGGGATCCAAGAAACCCAAGTAATCCATAGAATTCACGAAACTCAAACAAATCAAGAATATTCTTCCACTCTCAAGTATTCAGAAGTTTGTACCGTTCTCACTCTCGGATTCCACTTTATCTTGGGTTGATAGTCGGACATAGCGAATAATGCTTTGAGAAACTTATGTGTGAATTTGTCCTGCGCACAGTACTCTTCATTGCCTTGTTGGGTATGATGTGTATAGATCCGAAAAATGTATGCATGACTCGAGAGAGATGGAGAGAAGAGACTCGAAACCCTTCTCGGCTCCAAAACGGACAGCCACGTCCGAAAACGCATGGCCACACCCACACCCTCCTTAGTTTTCTTGACTTTCTTAGCCTCCTTGGGTTTCGTAGGGTTCCTTGGTTTCTTTGACTTCCGTGGCCTTCTTGGCCTCCTTGGATTCCTTGATCTCCTCGGCTTCCTTAACCTCCTTGACTTCCTTCGCCTCCTTGGTTTCCTTTGGTTCCTTAGTCTCCTTGGGTTTCTTGACTTCCTTGACCTCCTTGAGTTCCTTGACTTGAGTGGTTTCCTTGACTTCCTTGGGTTCGTTGACTTTCTTGACCTCCTTGGGTTGGTTGGGTTCTTTGACTTCCTTG